AGCCCTCATTGTTAGGCACAAAGGAAAATGTATTATAAGGACACAGGAACCCAAGGACAGCAATACGGCTGGGCATTGGGAAGGAGCTGGAACGCGGGACTCAGACACCATCAGAAGTGTCTCCCCAGTGCTCCTCTCTGCGGGCCGGCTTCTTCACTTCTCTGGCTCAAGTGATGGGAGAAGGACCACTGGCAGTTCCCAACCTTTCCGTCTAGCAGATTCACTCTCCCAGAGAGCCCGTCAGTCTTAAAACTCGAGGGAAAGAACTACAGTAATTAGTCCAGCCTGAGGCGTCCACCCAGTAACTCAGTGTGCAGTGACACTGAACAAATGTGACAGCTCTTACCGCAACCGTCCAGGAAAGAAACTCCTCAAATAGTGGGCATCCAGCAGATGCCCACTCCAGGGCAGAAGCTGTCGCCCCCCCGCCCCAAACCCGCCCCAGGAGATACAGAGCGGGCTCAGGCAGTGCTTCTCAGCCTTAGCTGAACATTGGGACCACCTGGAAAACCTTAAGGAAGACTGACGCCCAGTCCACCTCAGACGACTCAAGCTTTTTCAAAAGCTCCCGGGTGCTTCTCATGAGAAGCTGAGAGCTCGGGGCTGGTGCCTCCAGTCACCCGGGCACCCTGAGCAGATGCAGCTTCTGCCTCGGCGGTCTGCGTGCACGCGCCCCGCGATGCTGGCCGTGCGTGCCGCCCCGGCCCACCCTGGCAGCGAGGGTCTGTGCTGCGCAGCCCAGCAGAACTTCCCGTGGCGGCCGCACGCCGCTGGCTGCATGTGTCCGCTGAGAACCTGAAGTATAATTAATGCGACGGGACATCTTATTGTATCTCACTCTAATTAATTTGAAGAGCCACGTGTGGCTAATGGCTACTCTATTGGACAGAGCAGGGCTGGTGGAGCTCAGCGAGGGGGAGGGCATATCTGAATCACATGAGGTACTTTTTTTTAATATATTTTATTGATTTTTGACAGAGAGGAAGGGAGAGGGATAGAGAGTTAGAAACATCGATGAGAGAGAAACATCGATCCGCTGCCTCCTGCACACCCCCCACTGGGGATGTGCCCGCAACGAAGGTACATGCCCTTGACCGGAATCGAACCTGGGACCCTTGAGTCCACAGGCCGACGCTCTATCCGCTGAGCCAAACCGGTTAGGGCCACCTGAGGTATTTCTTAACCAACTTGCTACTGTTTTCCTCTGCACACAGCCCCAATTCAGACCCTAAAACGGTGGGACAGAAAGGGACGATGGTGATAGGGATAAAGAACCACTGGCATAGAATGTTCCAAGTTATCTGTGTGACAAACCACCCCAATACTTGACCTAAAAGAGCAATATGTATTTTTGTCATAAATCCATGTTTGGGCAGGACTCAGAGGGCATAGCTCACCTCTGCTCTCCTTGGCATCAGCTGACGTGGCCGGAGGGCTGGGGCTGGGCACCGGAAGAGCTGCTCATTAAGGGGCTGGGTAGTGGCTGTCAGCTGGCACCCTAGCTGGGGCTTTCACCAGGGCACCTACAGGGGCTTGGGCTTTCTCACACTTGCGATTGGGTGCCAGGGCGGGCATTGAGTGGCGGGGGGGCCGAGTGCCCCGGCCGGCCAGGCGGGAGCGCTATCCTTTTTTTAAAACTAGCCTCGGGACCCATGCAGTCACTTCTGCTGTGCTCCACTGCAGTGAGTCACTAAGACCAGCCTCTATCCAAGAGGCCGAGGCGAGGCCCAGTCTGAGGACAGCAGTGCTGAGAGATGTGCAGACGTGTTTGAAAACCGCCTGTATGGTCCATGAGAACACGGGCCCCTCCTGCTCCAGCTCCCCCTCTTCCCGCCCACGGGGAGAGGATGCAGGCCCTCAGTACGCAGACCGAGACCTTGGGAGCCTGGCCAGCTCCTCAGGCAAGAAGCAGCGTTTGATCTCACGCGGCCCCCGCCCCTCCTCCTGCATGCCTGGTTTCTCTGTGCTCTGTACTCTGTAAAGCCCTGCGTTGGGAAAGTCTGGGTGGTGGCGAAACAATAGCGCCGGCCCCCAGCCACCCCCTGTGCGGCCTGGCCGAAGGCCAAAGGCCGATGGGACTCAGCCTGTCAGCTGTAAACTTCCCCTGTCAGCCGCCACCCGTGCACATGTGAGTCCGAGTAAAGCCGTGTCTTTCACAGCCAGTCCGCGGGGTGACTTCTCCGGGCCCTCAGCGCTTAGCATGACACCACCACGTAGACCCAGGAGCGAAGAGCACCAGGACAACTCTACACGCAGCAGCACACAGCCAGCTGCCGCGGCGACGGAAATCGCTTTCCTCGCTGGTTCCAGGCGCAGTCAAGCCCACCCGAACACCCGGCCCTGCAGCACCCACCCCACAACCCGGAGCACCCCTCAAAGACCTGACCCACAGACTTCTCTATTGCACACACATTGCCTTGAGTAACTTCCCGATTCCTTTTCTCAGAAATCCTTGGGGGCGCGGGGAGTGGGAGAGACCTGGACGTGAGGGCAACTGGGTCTGGTCCCCACCCGACAGAGCCCATAAAAAAGGACACAGGTTTATTTGGGAGTGCGGAGATTACGGGAAATCATTTTCTTCTCTATGTTTCCATTTTCTATATTGTTAAGTTTCTGATTGTGGTAAAATATACATAACATAAAACATACCATTTTAATGATGTGTAAGTACAGTTCAGTGGCATTAAGCATATCTACATTGTGCAACCGTCACCACCATCATTTCCAGAACTTTTTCATCTTCTCAAACTGAAACTATCTCCATTAAAGTAACTTCCCTTCCCCCTCCCCATCCCCCGCCCCTGGCACCCACCATTCTGCTTTCCGTCTCTGAGTTTGACACGCCTTGTTGCAGGCTCTAGGAACCTGTGAGTAGAATCATGCAGTATTTTTCCTTTGTGACTGGCTTATTTCACTTAGCATAATATCCTAGAGCAGGGGTGGGGAACCTTTTTCCTGCCAAGGGCCACTTGGAAATGTATAACATCATTCGCTTATTATAATTCACTTACTATAAATTTTGTTGCTATAAAAAAGCTCCTAGATTTATTGAATTTCGAGTCCTGCCGGCAGATGCCTTGGCAGGGCCGGACCAAATGATTTCACGGGCCTCGTACAGCCCGCGGGCCAGATGTTACCCACCCCTGTCCTAGAGGTCACCCCTGTGGTCGACTGTGCCCTGGCCAGGTGGCAGGTACCATTCCCGGTCAAGGCACATACCTAGTTTGTGGGTTTGATCCCTTCCTCTCTCCCTAAAAATAAAAAATATGCTCAGGTGAGGATTAAAAAATATATGCATATTGAGAATGTGTCAGAATTTTCTTTCTTTTTGGGGTGAATAATGTTCCAGTATGTGTGTGTGTGTGTGTGTGTGTGTGTGTGTGTGTGGCATTTTGTCTATCCATTCATCCACTGATGAACATGTGTTTCTACTTTTTGGCTTATTGTGAACAACACTGCTATAAACATTGGTGTGCAAATATCTGTTTGAGTCTCTGCTTTCAGTTTTTTTTGTATATGCTTAGAATACATAGAGCATAATTGTGGGATCATGTGGTAAATCTATTTAATTTTTTGAGGAAGCAGTTAAAATTTTTTAAGCTTTTTAAAAAAGTAATCAAAGAGCCCTGGCTGGTTTGGCTCAGTGGATAAAGCGTCGGCCTGCGGACTGAAGGGTCCTAGGTTCTATTCCAGTCAAAGGCACATGTCCAGGTTGCAGGCTCAATCCCCAGTGTGGGGTGTACAGGAGGCAGCTAGCTGATCAATGATTCTCTCTCATCATTGTTGTCTCTATCTCTCTCTCCCTCTCCCTTCCTCTCTGAAATCAATACAAATATATTTTTTAAAAAGTGATAAAAGACTGTTAAGAATAAAACACCACCTGGCTGGTGTGGCTCAGTGGTTGAGTGTCGACCTATAAACCAGGAGGTCACAGTTGGATTCCCAGTCAGGGCACATGCCTGGGTTGCGGGCTTGATCCCTAGTAGGGGCCGTGCAGGAGGCAGCTGATCAATGAATCTCTCTCATCATTGATGTTTCTTTCTCTCTCTCTCTCTCTCTCTCTCTCTCTCTCTCTCTCTCTCTCTCTTCCTCTCTGAAATCAATAAAAATACATTTTTTTAAAAAAAGAATCAAAACACCCATTTCAAAACTTTAAAAATGGAAAAATCATGTTTGTTCATTATGATTTTTAATAATGTCTACTCTTCTAGTGTTTTTATTTATTTTTAAAGACTAATTGAGAGAGAGCATCCATAACAAATTTCACGTTTTATTTGGTTATTTATATGGATTTTTGAAAAGAAAACATTTTTATTGTAATAACTATATATAACATAAAATTTACTGTCTTAACCATTTTTAAGTGTGCAATTCAGTGGTATTAAGCCCAGCCGGCATGGCTCAGTGGTTGAGCGTTGACCTATGAACCAGCAGGTCACTGTTCAATTCCCCGTCAGGGTACATGCCCAGGTTGCAGGCCTGGTCCCCAGTGTGGGGCGTGCAGGAGGCAGCCCATGAATGATTCTCTGACATCATTGATGTTTCTATCCCTCCCCCTCCCCCTCCCCCTCCCCCTCCCCCTCCCCCTCCCCCTCCCCCTCCCCCTGCCCCTGCCCCTCCCCCTGCCCCTCTGAAATCAGTAACCACCAGGGCAGAGCAGCCTGACTCAGGCTGCCCCCCGTGACCCCCTTTTGTCAGACACTAGCATTTCAGCATATTTTTGTAGCTTTTCACACTAAATGGTTGTCATTTTGCAAAACAAAATATTAACACCGGGTAAGAGTTGTGTTATGTTCCGGGAGCTTGCTAGACCAGGAATTTACATCTATGCTTCCCCCATCCCTCCTGTGTACGTGGGCTGTGTGACTGGGCACAGCACCTCCCTTATTGGGGCGCACTTGTCATCTGTCAGTGAGTCAAACCACACAACCTGAAAGGACACCAGGAGCTAATGACACCATCCCGTCCGCACCCAGGCTCCTCCCACCCTCAGCCACGGGAGGAAGGAGCCAGACGGCGAGTGTCCAGGGTCTTGGAGACGTGCCCAGCCTGTTTTTGGCCCTGGACTTTTCCCAGGAGCTTGGCATTGTTGCTACCAGGCCTCACCTCACAGATATTTTCTAACCGAAACTGGGGCAAATGGTCTGAAAACATGGAGATGTAGAAGACATGCTCGTGAAAAGAAGGCAGAAGTCTCGCTCCCGCAGGAGGGCGTGGGGGCTGGATGGCGGGCGCTCAGCGGGCAGGACAGGGCCAGGGCAGCCTCCAGAGAGCAGGCGAGGGAGGCGCGAGGTGCTGGGGTGGAGGGGGTGGGAAATGGGCCTCTGGGTGCATATTCTGGGGCCTGACGATGGGGTGACACTGAGTTCAACAGAGCCACTGCCCATTCTGGCCCCACCCCTCTTGCCAGGAACCGCCTCCCCAACAACCGACCGCAGTGACCACATCCCCCCAGGTTGCCTTGGAAACACGCCTCAGGACAGGGGAGTTGGGGCACAGTTGCCCAGCAACAGGTGGTGCCCTCCCTTCCGCCCTCATCTGAGGCCCTGCTCTGCGCCCTTCCACAGGCCAGGGAAGAGCTGCTCTGAAGGGAGAGGGGAGCCCAAGGTCAGAAGACTGAGGTGAGGAGCGCAGGAGGCCCCTGTAGTGGGGAGCCCTGGGACCAGCCCCACCACTTCCCCTCTGTAGGCCCAGCAAGGCCTTTGGGGCTGAGGAGGCAGAGGGAAGACGCCCTTGGGCCCTTAGAGCTTTGTCGGAGGCACCTGGGACCTGGGAGGGGAAGTGGGGTTCTGAGCAGGAGGGCCGGCTGGGGGCCCCAGTGGTGCTTCCCCCACTTTGCCTCCTCTAGCCCTTCCCGGGGTCCCTCTGGGCTGTTTCTTGGGCCAGAGTCCCAGCCCCTGACCCCGGTCCCTCTGCTCAGTCCTGCCTGGGCCCTGGCTGCCGCTCTTGGCCTCTGGATGGAGCTTCCTCTCCCAACCCTGTCTCCCCAGATGCCGTGGACTCCAGAGCAGCCCTCTGGGCACATGGAAGGGCCGCCTGCAGCGGATTCGGCCTCGTGGCCCCCGCTGCCCTGTGGGCCTTGCATCCCCATCATGCTGGGCCTGGCCGTGCTGGCCGCCCTCTTCCTCCTCACCACGGCTGTGCTGGCCGAGCGCCTGTTCCGCCGCACTCTGCGACCCGGCCCCAGCCCCCACCCGCCCACCCTGGTCTGGCGCCCCGGAGGAGAGCTGTGGATCGAGCCCACCGGCACCCCCCGGGAGCGCTCCGAGGACTGGTACGGCTCCGAGGTGCCCCTGCTGATGGACCACGCCCCGGACCCCCCTGTCCACGGGGGCACCTTGGAGGCCCGAGCAACAGCCCCGCCTGCCCCTTCGCCTCCACACGCCCCTCCCAGCTTCTTTGTTCCCCAGATCCCACCCCAGGCCCCAGCCCCAAGTACCTTCTGGGGGCCCCAGGCCTGGGAAGGGAGGCCCCATGCCCCGGGCCTGGTGAGCTGGGCTGAGCCTGAACAGAGGCCAGAGCCCAGCATGAATCTGGGGAGCCCCCCGGCCCGAAGACAGCGGCCAGGGAGCCCTGACCCTGAGTGGGGCCTCCAGCCTCGGGTCACCCTGGAGGACATCTCAGCTTTCTGGAGGCGAGAGAGCCGCACCAGCGTGGGCTTCTGAACCCCCAGAGCCCGGGGACTGGCCTCCCAGGGGCCTCTGAGCAAGGCCCGACCTCAGAGCTCCCGCCTGGGAACCCAGCTGACACCCGAGGCCGAGGCCGGGGAAGGAGGCCGGGCTTTTCACACCCGGAGTTCAGTTCAGCTGGGTCTGGTCTGGGCGGGCGGGTGTGGACACAGCCTGTGCTGCAGGGGCACTCAGTGCAGCGTGGAGGTGGGGAGGACTCTGGGCCAGAAGCCGCCGCGGTCACGTTCCTGATGAAGAATTCAAGGTACGAGGCCGGCAGGAAAGAGCAGCGCCAGCGGCCTCCGCCTCCCCGCGCTGTGTGTCCAGGTGCCGCTGCTGGCGGTGCTAGCAGATGGCAGGGGCCCCGCTTCCGGAGCCACAAACCCCGCCAGGAAAACACAGACGGGGAGGCCAGACCAGCAAAGGAGCCTCTTACGGAAAACGAACCGAGACTTGGACCCCAGCGCAGAGCGCAAACGAGGGGAGCCAAGCTGGAGAGGCCGCTCTGCCTTCAGCCGGGGCCCAGAGCCGGATAAGCCAGCGGGTCCTCTGCCGTCTGTGAAGGCTGACACCCAGCCCTCGGCGTCTTACCCACCCCCACCCCCCCCATCGTGGGGGAGGCCTGGGCCGAGGACATCTGAGGTTGAACCAACATGGAAAACCGTCCCAGGGCAGGGCAGCTCCCAAAGTGCAGCCTCTGGCAACCCCCCCCACCTGTCCCCCTCCCCAGGCTGGCCGGAGTGTTCCGGAGAGACAGGTCCCCCCAGGCAGGCTTACTTATAAGGCTCCAGCTCCACCTGGAGAAACGGAGCCCCCGAACGTCCTTGGCCCCATAGCACCCGTCTCAGCTGACCTCGCTGGGAGCAGAGCCAGGGGAGGGGAGAGACCGAGGAGTTTTCACTCCAAACTGCGGTCATGACTGTTGGGGTTCTTGCCATATCGGTTTACCAACTGGGCTATTATTTACTTTATGTTTTCTTCGAATTGGTTTACTGTTTGCTTAATAAATGTATTGTAGAAGGAATATTTCTTGTATCACCTCTGTAAACGGAAAACCAGCATCCCTTGCCATAAATAGAAGGTCAAATAAATACATTGTAAACAAAGACAGTAAGTTCTGAGTAGACATTGTTCCCTGCTGGAGGCAGTGACCTTAAGAGCTGATCTTTCTTTGTTGTTGTTTTTAAAAAAGGAGGGATGATGTCAGCAAGTGTTAGGCGGTCCAGCTGCCACGCTGAGGCCCCCTCAGAAGTTCTCAGACAGACGGATCCTGCACCGGAGGCAGGGACAGCGAGCCTGTGCTACCAGTGCCGGGCAGGGGCCTCGGAGTTCACCCGCACAGGGAACTGCTGCTCCGAGGGCCAGGGGGCTCTGGGCCTGGACCTGCCCTCTCATCCCTCCGATGCCAGAAGTGGAAGGAGCAGTAGAGGAATGAGTAGCCCCTAGGCCAGTGGTTCTCAGCCGTGGCTGCACATTAGAATCACCTGGGAATCTTTTTAAAATCCTGATTTCTGGGCCTCATCCTCCGGAAATTCTGTTTCTTGGTTATGGGGTGGGGCCACAACATTAGTAACAAAGAAACAGAATTTCCGGAGGATGAGGCCCAGAAATCAGGATTTTAAAAAAGATTCCCAGGTGATTCTAATGTGCAGCCAAGGTTGAGAACCACTGCCCCAGGCGGAGGGACCTCTCCCAGGGACACTCATCCAGCACAGGGTCCTGGCACTCCCCTGAGCCAGGCCCAGGGATGGGAGAATCAGACCTGGCGTCTACACTCGAGGACCTCCCCGTCTCTCCAGTGGCAGCGCTGGGGGTGGAGGGGGGGATAAGACGGACACGTAACTGACAACCCTAATACAAGGCGGGGTTCCTGTCCCGCCTGCCTCTCAGAGGGTAATGATGTCGCCTCGTCAGGATCAGCTGACAGGACTGGTTCTGGGGACTCTGCCCCAGGAGGGATCCGTCCGGGGAGCAGAGCAGAGCAGCGCTCAGAGCTGCCGTGAGTGGAAGGGGCCCCCGAGACAAGGCCCGGCTCCCAGGCTGGCTGGCACCGCTGACCTTCAGGAAAGCCTTCGGAGCCTTCGGGAAAGTGGTGTTTACGTTACTGGGCCTCACCTTCTTCCCTCTGTGCAGCCAGAGAGGTGAAAGCTGAGCAAGATGCTCTGTTGGGACTTTTCTAGCTGTGGCATCTCAGGATGGTCTAGAGCAGTGGTTCTCAACCTTCCTAACGCCGCGACCCTTCAATACAGCTCCTCATGCTGTGGTGACCCCCAACCATGAAATTATTTTCGTTGCTACTTCGTCACTGTAATGTTGCTACTGTTATGAATCGTCATGTAAATATCTGATATGCAGGATGTATTTTCATTGTTACAAATGGAACATCATTACAGCATAGCGATGAATCACAAAAACAATATGTAATCATATATGTGTTTTCCGATGGTCTTAGGTGACCCCTGTGAAAGGGTCGCTCGACCCCCCAAAGGGGTCGCGGCCCACAGGTTGAGAACTGCTGGTCTAGAATGAAAGATGGATGACACTCGGGGAACGTGAGCCTCCTGAGGCAGCATCCGGCCTGCTATCCCCAGAGTCGCCTTTATAGCCCAGACCCAGAGCCTGGTCTGGAACATAGCAGGAGCCCAGGGAAAGGGGGCGGACGGTGGGCGGACTAAGACATGCACCAGTTTTACAAGCCTCCTCCTTTCTCTGCATTTCAGACCCTCCCTCTCCTTTCTAACACCCCCGTGTTACTGTCCCGTGATCAGTCCTTCCCTTGTGCCTTCAGGCATTTGAAACATCCTTGTGGTTGGTCCTGTTGTGGGGGGGGGGGGGGGGGGCTCCCTCGCCTTCATGGCAGATGGTTTCCTCTTGGGCTTTCTAGTTCGGGGCTGTGAACTCGGCTTCAGCGGGGCCCTGTGAGTGGGAATCCACGAGATCCGTGTGAAGGGGCGTCTTAGGGATCCTGTGTTTGCTCCTGGCCAGGGAGCTTCAGGGCTATTACCTACGCTGGGCCACCTTCTCTGTTAATTTTATTTGAGCTTCTGAGACACGGTGTAAACGTGAGCCCCAAATGCAAGTGAGGGGAGCCTTTGGTTATGAATTCTCAGGCGAGACTTTCTGCTGCCCCCAGGTCTCGGGGAGAGGCAGGCCGGTCCTGTTTGCTCCCCGGCTGGTGGGTGGGAACATGTTTTTCTAACCTGCTCCCCTCAAGGTGAATGTAGGGCCCAACCCTTCATTGCCAAGCTCTGCAATTCAGAGCCGCTCTGGCTTTCAACTTCCTCCTTGTGTGGCCCCTGGGGGTTCCCCTTCCTTCCCTGAAGCCCAGCTGCGCATTTTAAAGGATGTTTGTTTGATTCTATGCAGCATTTCTGGATGTTTCATGGTGGGAATGTGCTTGTCCGGTTATAACATCCACAATATCACGACAAAACCAGACTATTTCCTCTATAAACAAAGTCAGATCTTCCCACTTAAAACAACAGCTCACTTCCCTTGGCCGGAGCACCGCCCCTGCCCCACAGGCTGCAGGTCTGCTCCCGGTTAGTGCACATGTCTGCGCTGCGGGTTCGATCCCGGGCCAGGGCGCATGCGGGAGGCAACCAAGTGATGTGACTCACATCAATGCTCCTCTCTCTCTCTCTCTCTCTCTCTCTCTCTCTCTCTCTCTCTCTCTCTCCCTCCTCCCTTCCACTCTCTCTAAAAATCAATGGGAAAAATATCCTCGGGTGAGGATTAACAAACAAAAAAACCAACAACAACCGAACAACAACTAATTCTCCATCCTTCACCACAGTGACATGACCTCTCACCTCCTTCACAGACAAGCCTGGGGAAAGCTGTCTGCCCCGCAGTCCCCAGTCCCCACCGCCCCTCCCGCTGCAGCCCCGGGTCTGCAGAAGCCGCTTCCCAGAGCCAGAGCCACGTGCTTCCACCCGGGACTCCGTCCAGCCTCCCGTCCGCAGCATTAGACGCCCGATTCCGCTGGCACATTCTCTCCCCTTGCCGGCTGTGACCCCACACACCCCTGGCCGCCCTTGGCTCCCTCTGCCTTCCTCAGGGTCAGCCCTGGACTGCTTTGCTCTCCTTCGACACACTCTTCCCGGCAACCTCATGACGCCGTGGCTTCCATTATTCTCCTGTGGTCCTCCCGGAGACATCCCCCCGTTATTCTAAAGTAATGGTGCCCGTGGGAGAGAAAACACGATGAGTAACGAAAGGTGATCTCGAGCCAGTGCGTGGCCATCCCTGGGGAGTCAGTGTTTGTCCCCAGGGCAAAACCAGCACCCCCCCACCCCCCCCAAAAAAGATGCAGGGGCCATGGATTCACATGTATAAAAGGCCAAGCCAGAGCCGTGGGCGAGTGGTGTGGACGAGGGGACGGAGGTGAGAAGAGACCACATGTCTGTCTCTGGGCACAGCTGCCACTCGGTGCCATCAGTCACGTCCATCCCTCTGACTTTGCACCAGAAGCTAAAAATCTGGGGCTCGGGGTAAAATCAACCAAAAGATTTATAAACATTGATAATGTATGGACCCATAGAAGCCAAATGAAGCACGTCTGTGGGCCACATGCGGCTCGTGGACCATCGGCCGGAGGTCCCCTCTACGCAGCCTTGGACAAGTGCTCGTTGTCTTGGCCTTGGGTGGTTTGAGGCGGGGCAGCCTGCTCCCAGAGGCCTCAAGTCAGGGCTTTCCCCACCTTCACGCCATTGATGTTCAATAATTCTTCCCTGTGGGAGACTTTCCCACATCCCCGCTGGCCTCCACCCACTAGGGGCCAGTAGCAGCCCCTAGTTGTCAACCACAAATGTCGCCCAGGGGAGGGGAGGGGACCAGGAACCTCTGATCTAAGTGAAGTGTTTTAAAGAATTCACACACCTGCCCATGGGGCGCGACCCTGTCTCAGGGACAGGACGGCCGGGGAACCAGTGACACCGAAAAGGAATAAGATGAAGAGACAGACCACCAGCCCTGGAGGAACCAGGAGTCAGGCCCTGCACCCAAACGGGCGGAGGCTCCTGGGAACACCCTGCAGCTGCAGGAGAAGAAAGCTCTGGGAGTTACAGACATAACTTCCCAAATTAGAGTTAAAGGGAAGTACGGGGGACAGAGTTTAAACGTTTTTCAGGATGTAGAGCAAAATGACAGAAATGGGAAATGGGAAAGGAAAGTTAAGCGATGAAGGATCCATTCAACGTTCATCGTTAATGGGAGTCCCAGGAAAACACAGGGGGGACCAGCCGGACTGTGGTTGAGGAAAACAGGGCCAGCAGGGCGGAGAGGTCTGCGCACTGGAAGGCCGGGGAGCTCTTAGCAACACCACCCCAAGACTCCCGCTTCTCACCAAGGTTACCCCTGCACCACCACCACCACCACCATCACCATCACCATCACCACCATCACTACCACCACCACCACCACCACCACCACCACCATCACCATCACCACCATCACCATCACCACCATCACTACCACCACCATCACCACCACCATCACCACCATCACCACCACCACCATCACCACCACCACCATCACCACCACCACCACCATCACCACCACCACCACCACCACCACCACCACCACCATCACCACCACCACCACCACCACCACCACCACCATCACCACCACCACCACCACCACCACCACCACCACCATCACCACCACCACCACCACCACCACCACCATCACCACCACCACCACCACCACCACCACCACCACCACCATCACCACCACCACCACCACCATCACCACCACCACCACCACCACCATCACCACCACCACCACCACCACCACCATCACCACCACCACCACCACCACCACCACCACCACCACCACCACCATCACCACCATCACCACCACCACCACCACCACCACCACCACCACCACCACCACCACCATCACCACCATCACCACCACCACCACCATCACCACCACCACCACCACCACCACCACCACCATCACCATCACCACCACCACCATCACCACCATCACCACCACCACCATCACCACCATCACCACCACCACCATCACCACCACCACATCACCACCACCACCACCACCACCACCACCACCACCATCACCACCACCACCACCACCACCACCACCACCACCATCACCACCACCACCACCACCACCACCACCACCACCATCACCACCATCACCATCACCACCACCACCACCACCATCACCACCACCACCACCACCACCACCATCACCACCACCATCACCACCACCACCACCACCACCACCACCATCACCACCACCACCACCACCACCACCATCACCACCACCACCACCACCACCACCACCACCACCACCATCACCACCACCACCACCACCACCACCACCATCACCACCACCACCACCACCACCACCACCACCACCATCACCACACCACCACCACATCACCACCACCACCACCACCACCACCACCACCATCTGCCGGGGTCCAGCCCCAGCAGGTCCAGGGGTCCCCA